GGGGGGGGGGGGATTTTTAATAGGTTTCCTGAGGAGTTTCAATTCACTGGAGTATAAAATGAAATGGTTTTCTCTTCCCAGTTGCTAATTGCAGCCCTCCTTCAGAGCCCGAAAGACGTTTCTGGCAAGCTAAAAAATTTCTGCTTATTTTCAGCTCTAAAAAAGTCCACCCTCCGGCTCTTCTCTGAACTATAGCCCAGAGAGGAAAAGCTCAGCAAGCCCCCATTCATCAAGCTGGGCACCAGTTCTCCTTCGCAGGCCCCCGAAACCCCCACAGGCTCTTCTGCAGCACCCGGTTACGCGGCGTGGATCGAGAAGGTCCTCCATTCGCTCCCGGGGCAGTGGTGAAGTACCTCTCGCCGTCCGCTGAGCACCCCTCCGGATTCACGAGCCTCCTTTCGCTCATCTCCCCTTTCTTGATGTTTTCTTTACGTGTGGAGAGGTGGTCAAGGAGCGGGAGCTGACCTTAGTGACTGGCAGCTTAAAACATAAAGAGGAGCTAGCTACTATCTCTTACCTTCAATGTGGAGCCTTCGTTTCCCTTCCTAAATTCTGAGCCCACAGGAGAGGTCAAGCTCAGCGTCTCTACAGAGGCAGCTGCCATGAGCTCAGCACTATGCCAGGTGCTCCGGGCAGCTGACTGCATCTTTATAATGATGCTGGGGACAGTGTTTCATTACTCCCCTTTTGCAAATAAGGAAACCAAGATTTGGGAAAGATAAATGGCTTTCCCAATATTAATGTAAGTAGGTTGTAATGCAGCAAAATAGACACTCAGGGCTCTCTATTTCCAGAGCTTTCATGTGGTTTTTTTCACTACGCTGCCACACAGGACACCAATAACACTCATTTCAGTTATCACCAGGGTAAGGTTCTAAAGGAATTCATTGTCTCTGTGAGGCAGGAATCAGAACCTACTAGAATCTGAGTTTATAGCAGACGACTCTTCTCCATGACTGCAGCTACGCTGAGCAAGTGAGGGCAAAGAATAAAAACTTCTCTACGTGACTTTGCTTTCCAAGGGAGGTCCTCAGTTGACTGCCCAATGGTGCCATTTCTATTCTTAATACACTAAAGACCCACATTTTTATTCGGTCTTATCAGTTAACAGATTTCTTACTCAGTAAATACTTCACAGCAGCTTTTACATCGTTATTTCTCAAGCTATAGATGATGGGGTTTAGCAGGGGGGTCACCACCCCATAAAACAGGGGAACAAGCTTGTCTGAAGCTTGCAGCTGGCCGCCCCCGGGCCGCTCTTGAGACCTGGGCTTGGCATACATGAAGAAGATGGTGCCGTAAAATATGACCACCACGGCCAGGTGTGCGGAGCAGGTGGAGAAGGCCTTGCGTCTCCCGGGGCCCGAGTGCAAGCTCAGGACAGTGCAGAGGATGAGCACGTAGGAGAAAGCGATGGCCAGCAGCGGGAGGACCAGGAACACCGCGTTGGATATCACCATGGTGACAATGTTGAGGGATATGTCAGCACAGGCCAGCTTCAGGACAGCTAGGATCTCACATCCCAAGTGATTGATGACATTGTTCCCACAGAAAGGCAATTGCATGGCAAGAGACGTCTGCACAATCGAGTTGAGGCCTCCGGAGAGCCAGGACACAGAAGCCATCAGTGCACACACCGCCCTGCTCATGACGACGGGGTACCTCAGGGGGTTACAGATGGCCACGTAGCGGTCAAAAGCCATCATGCCGAGGAGCAGACACTCTGTTGATCCCATTGCAAACCCAAAGAACACCTGCACTGCGCATCCAGAGAAGGAAATGTTCCTTTTCTTTGAGATTAAGCTCACCAAAATGATGGGGACAGAGGAAGATGTGTAGCAGATATCGAGGAAGGAGAGGTTGCCCAGGAAGAAGTACATGGGGGTGTGAAGGCGGGAATCAAAGATGCTCACTATGATGAGAACACCATTGGCGGTGAGAATCATTAGGTACATAACTAGAATTAGAACAGAGAAAATCACCTCAAGTTTTGGGTAACCAGAGAGCCCCAGAAGAATGAATTCTTTCACAAATGTCTCGTTTATTATGTCCATGTCACAGCTTTCAAGGTATCAAAGACTTGACATAAAATATTTTCACTTCCAAACAACAAATGTAAGAGATGTCTTGAATAAGCATTACTCTAGGGTGGCAAAAAAAGAGTGTTTTCTTTGACTTCTGTCATCTGCTTCTGACATATGTTATCTTCAACAGTTTGTGCCTAGAATACAATGATACTGGGATGTAGAGAGTTTCTATGCCCTGTGTCTAATGTGTTCAGATCTACCTAGGATCAGAAGCAAATTCAGAAGAAACCTCCCCTACTGGTGACAACACCCTAAGTTGAGTTTTCTAAAAAAACACCTTAGAATATTTCAGACAACAAACCCAACTTCTTCATCTAGTCAGGTCCAGTGAGAGAGTGGTGGGAAAGGCAAAAGACGACTCAATAATGACTGGAATTTGTTTCAAGGTTTAACAGAAATTTTCAAAAATGCAAAACAGGTGATTTTTATGAAATTTGTCTACCTGACATTCTGTATCTCCTTTTAGTCAGTTAAATTGTGTATTTTTATAGGGCAGACATTTGATTATAGTAAATTAAACCTCGTACACTGCAATTTAACATCTGCTGAAAGCTAACGTTAGTTGATCTCATAGTGACAGCCCACAGTTCCTATGTTGTTAGTTCCTAGCACAAGACCAGTGTGGAGACCAACTATGCATGTCCATGATGGAGAACCTTTGACCAGCAACAGTCACTCTTCATTTACTTTATTGTTGACGTCAGAGTTATTTGTAATTTATTTAAGTGAACCTGAGAAAACTGTAATAATGCTTAAATATATTTGTATGTGCAGCACTTTATACTTTACAAAAAAAATACCCACAAATTATTCTTCTCATTACCCCTATTTTCCCCCCAAATATTAAAGACAGAATGTGGCCAAAGTTATCCATGCTATAAGTAAAAGGTAGAGCTTGATACAGATCTTTGCCAATGAACTCTAGAGCTCTTTGTGCTACAAAACCAAAAGTTATTATACTGTTTTCCCACCAACTTTGGGGCTTAGTGGAATAAATTTAAAAAAATCAACAATTTCAGTCTTTTAAACTTTTCATAGGTATGTAAATTACCTGGAGGTCTTATTAAAATGCAGATTCTCTTCTAGTAGGTCTGAGGCAGGGCCTGTGATTCTGAATTTCTAATAAGCTCCCAGGTTGTGCTGAAGTGGCTGGTATGGGGCCAGATTTTGAGTAGTGAGCTGGCAGACTATCCAGATGTTTCTGATACAAATAGAATTTCTTCTGTTTTATTAAATGAACTAGCTTAACAACCTAGAAAATCACCAAGGGCGTACTTTTGTGTTTCCCAGCAAATTCCAGGGCTGCATCTCACTGTTCAGTACAATTCAGACGATAATAATATTAAAAGACACATTTTATAAAAGCAGGATAGACTTTTTGCTAGACTACTACAGTATGTATAGGATTTGCCAATAGCCTAACTTGACCCCATTCCTGCTCCAAGCTGAGTAAGGCTGTCATCAAAAAGTTTACAATTCAGTGAGGGAAACAGAAAAACTACACGTGGGACGATTCGATACAGAATATAATTACACTGTATGAGCAGAGTGAACATTATAAGGATGTCCAGAAGGAGGAAGTTAATGAGAAATAAACAAGGCAAGAGAGAGTTCCGGAAGAGTCTCTGCTTAGGCTGGGTCTGCAAGCATGGAAAAAATGGGGCAGATTTGGAGGAGGAGAGGGGAAGAGGGGTAGCCCAGAAGGGAACGCAGGTTGAGAAAGTCCAGGCGTAAGCACATTGGCAGCACCTCCCTTTCAGACCAGGGGGTTTCTATGGAGAAGTGACGCGAAGCACATTTGGAAAGGTAAATGTAGCAGATGTATATAAAGGTGCAAAAGTCAGGCAGACAAGCTGGCACTTCTACTGGGGAAGGAGCCTGTTATGAGAAGTGCCACATCCAAGGTGAGTGTTTAGAACCTGTGATTCTTTTTAGCTATCCTTCAAAATTGACATCATACATTTTGATTTTATGAGGTTTTTGAGCAGACATATGACACAGGGAATTAAAATATTTAGATTAATTAGGTTATCATTAATTACTGATGGGCATACACATAAAAATCATCTTTTCATAACTGCCAATAGTTTTTAGGTTACTCAAAATTGCAAGTTTAGGATTCACGTAGGCTAACAGTTCCAAGGATGTCAGCATAAGCTCCTACTCGACTCTAACACTCAGTGTGTTCTGTGATGATGGGTGAAGAGATTTCTCTACAGTGTATAATGTCTTAGAGTCAGCAGCCAAACTCAACAGAGGGATTCTCACTTCAGAAACAACTCAGTTAAAGAATGCAAAGGAGCCTGGCCGGTGAGGCTCAGCAGTTGAGCGTCAACCTAGGATCCAGGAGATCGAGGTTCGATTCCTTGTCAGGGCACATGCCCAGGTTGCGGGCTCAATCCCCAGCAGGTGGTGTGCAGGAGGCAGCCGATCAATGACTCTCATCATTGAGGTTTCTATCTCTCTCTCTCTCTGAAATCAATAAAAAAATATTAAAAATGAAGATTACAAAGAGAAAGTTTCAACTTGGACAAGAGATGCAAATGAGAGAACACTGAAACTCCAAATTAGAGATGAGAAAACAGCCTCAGTTCAATTTTTTTGTGTATATTTTTTCAGGTTAAGGCCAGATGCACCTTAAAAACTTTCCATTTATTTAAATGAAAAAAATATTTACTTATGAAAATGACTTCTATTGCAGGATCTCATGTGCTAGATACTGTGCTTGAAATTAGTTTACTTGGTTGAAGTCACATGGCTAATGATGGGCAGAGACAAAACCCAAAGCCCATTCTATTTCCAGTAATTCTGTGCCCAATAGGTACCATTAAACTCTGCATGGAAGACACGTGTCGGCAACAGAAAACAGTCAGTGAGACCACAGATACGTTGAAGTCATAAAGGCAAAACTAACCTTAATAAACAATGCACAAGGAGAATGGGTAAGTCTTGAGAACTTAGTACTTCTGGTCATGATGAAAGGTGTAGGGCTGTGGGATTAAATTACATGCCCCAGAATATTTCATTTTCTGTGAAATGATTCTATACTCCCTCTACATTACTCCTTAGGGTAAATCAAAATTCCCCCCCAGTGGGGTACAGGAATTGGTGAAGGGATGCCTTAGATAAGGGACAGGAGCACTCAGATCAGCCCTGGCATGAATGGAAAAGAAGACAGCAAACACTGACTTACCAAGAAATGTGGTGATGTTCCAGATCCAGCCCCTTTGGGGTCCAGGCCTGGAGAGCCTGCTGGCTTCCACATCCAGAAAAACATAATGACAATGTATTTAGGCCACTGAAACAACTTTTCTTGCCAGCTGCTCCAAGCCTTCCCCTCCTAGGAGAAATTCCCTCACCAGTTCTAACTCACCTTGAGCCAGTTCTATCTTGCTGTCTTTGCCCTTCTCCCAGAAATTTAAATTGGTTATTTTGTATATTGTAGAAAACAAGGGACAGGAGGAAAGGAGCTTGTCTGTTTTGCTCATCCCTCTACACCTAGAGCCTAACAAAGCAAGCGGCTGCAGATCTTGGGTTTGGGCTAAATTGGTGAAGGTTTGCACTCTGGGTTCTTAAGCAATGTCCATGTGCAGTATTTGTGGATTCATATTTAAGAAAAAAAATTTTCTTTAAATATTTTTATTGATTTCAGAGAGAGGAAGGGAGGGGGGAGAGAGGGAAACATCAATGATGAGAGAGTTATTGATTGGCTGCCTCCTGCTGGGGATCGAGCCTCAAACCCTGGCATGTGCCCTGACCAGGAGTCAAACTGTGATCTCCTGGATCCTAGGCCGATGCTCAACTGCTGAGCCAAGCTGGCCAGGCTCAAGAAAATGTTAATATGCCCAAATGATTCATTTTCAGCAGGCTAATTTTTAAAAAAAGTATCTTTCAGTCAGTGCTAACAAAATACCATTCATCTCATATAGACAATGCAAGTAGGAAGATCACCTAGTTGTACTCACTTGAATTGGTACAGCATGGGCTGAGCCTAGTGAAAAAGTACCTGGGACATAGAAGCAAAAGTTCTAGGTTTAAGGTTATTTTCTTCTAATATTTAGTCTCAATTTTCCCATTTGTGAAGTAGTGATAAAAATAACTGCCTTCCTTTTCTCCCACGTTTGTTTTGAGGAAAATTCAGTAGCACATGGAAACTGTTTTACGAATGAATGAGCATTATACAGAAATAACAATAATAATAAATCACAGCTATTTGGTAATAATAAATTAGTAGCTGTATTGCCTCATGCTGCTCACATTTTAAATCCATATTTAGTAATAAATTGAATTAAGGAATGAAGGGTTACATTTCCATGGTATTGAAGACTTACCTTTCTACTGATACATTATTTCCACCTCCTAGAAAAAAGTTACTTCCTTCTTAGTATTTATGTCAGCATTCTGAATTAAGGTCAGGTTCAACAAACAATGCCAGATTCCACAGATGTGGAAGAGTAAATATTCGTAATGCCACAGTTGTAATTACTCTCCAATTCCCAAAGCAATTTAAAGTTTGAAGGATAGCTCTGTGCAACAGAGAAACTTTTGGGTGTGTCAGGGACAGTGTCCCACAGACCCAATTAAGATTGCTGTTGGGAATACACTGTGACTGAACTAAAGCTCAAAAAGGAAATGACATTCTCCTACCCATGCAACTTTTGGAAACAGGGGCAAATGTTCACCAAATTAACTTTATAAAATGTGAGAGCTTTTTAATTAAAAAAAGTTTACCACAGCAAAGTTAATTCAAAGTAAGATCTTAATTCGAATGACAAATACCAAAGTGAAATGATGGAACTAGAAAATGATCTGAATATTATAAATTAAATAAGACAGATATCTGTTGTGAATTAAATGCACTGCCATTTAACTTTTTTGCTTAGTTTACCTTCATTCTTTTAGAAAGGTTAATGTCATGCAGGAAGATATCATCAACCTTTTCTGGAATGAAAAGAAATACAGAGAATCAATAGCATAAATAAATTTATAGGGAAAAAGTACATTCAAATTTTATGGCCAAAAAGTAAAAAAAAAAAAAAAAAAAAAAAAAAG